TGGGGTCTCACAGTCTTCGCTCCTCTGGAGTTCCACAGTAGGTGGCTGGCTGTTGTTCTTCCCGGGTCTCTTCCAGGTCCCTCTTGCGGTGGAACCCCGTCTGGCGGCGGCGTTCTCCCGTCTGGTGGTGGCATTCTCCCGATTTTTGTTTTCTTGATGTTGAGAAGAAATCCCTAACAAGGCATAGTTTTTTATCTGACACTCCTGGTTGTGTACTTTGGAGTTGGAACCCACCGATAGCGGACCCTTAAGGGGGGTCTTCAGAGGCAGTTAATTGCATGGGAGGAAATTGCCCAGCCTTCTCCTGTGGAGCACTTGGTGGAGTCAAGCCACATGTCTTTGGGTTTGTAGTTGCAGCTTCTTGCCAGTAGACCCCAGTGCTCCTTGGCATGAGTCCCCAGCAATTAGTTAAGTCCTGCATTAAGAGAACAAGAATTTGTACAGCTGGACAAGTAGGCAACATAATGATACATGGTTAAAAGATTAAAATAGTCAAGGATCTCATGTTAGTTGAATCCACAATCAACAGCTTTGGTACCAGCAGTCAGGAGCTTAGGAGACATACTGCTTTCACAAGTCTGTTGTCAGGGACTTCTCTAAATTACTGAGGAGTAATTATGTCAGTTTGAAGAGTAAAGTGCATTTGATTCTCTAAAGTACTGAGGATTAATTATGTCAGTTTGAAGAGTAAAATGCATTTGATTCGGACCAAGGTCTTTTCCATCACTTGCTATGCTTCTAAGGGCTGGACAATGACAAAGGCTGGCAGAAGAATTGATGCCTTTGAGTTTAGAGTATTGGAGAAGAGTACAAATAGATAGGTCTTGGAGAAAGTGAAGCCATGTGCTCCTTGGAGGCAAAAATGACAAAAAATGACAAACCTTTGTCTGACGCACCTTGAGCATTTTGTTAGGAGGGACTATTCTTTGGAGAGAAACCTCATGCTTGGAAAGGTGGAGGCGTCAGTAAAAGAGAGGAAAACCCTCAATGAGGTGGGCTGATACAGTGACTGTAGAAATTGGGGAGTAAAAAAAAAAGAAATTGGGGAGTATGTTAGAAGTGATGAGGACGGCACAGGACAGCACAGGGTGCGGTTGTGTTTTTCACAGGGGCTCTTTGAGTCGTACTCTGCTCGAAGGCCACCTGACCACAACAACCAAATACTAGACTCACAATTTCTGCTATTAATATGCACTGATCCTCTATATCTGCCTGAATTACTTTCCAGTCATCTCTGCTGAATCTAAAAAACGTAGAAGTGCTTGGTCACAACACAGAAGCCAGTCATTCCCTTATTGGCCTTGCAACACTATCACCCCTCAGCTCCATGCAACCACATTATGATTTTTACCAATGTACTGTTGAGTGAAAGAAAAGAAATAGACAATGGTGTCTGCAATATGATTTGCTTTAAAGTTCAAGAGAAGCAGCAATATTAAATCATGTTGTTTACGATTCACATAGAATAGGTTTAACCATTTGTAGAAGTCAAGGAAACTCTTATGAAAATTGGGATAGTAGTAAAAAAAAGGTAAAGAGAAAGGCTTCTGGGATGCTGCCTTGTTCTTGTGTTGAATTGTCTATATTGTGCTTGTTTTATGGTTATTGAACTTTTATGCTTTCTGTGCATTTTAGTTCTCAAAAGACAAATGTGCTGAATCAGGGAAAGTGTCAAATACATTCACTTGCAGCCCTGAGGTAGTTCCCTGGGAGACTTCCACAAGGATGTTTGGAGAAAGAGAAGGGGACATGAAATGTTAGTTCTGCAGACCTGTGACTATGCAGGATTGTGTTCTAACAGGGCCTCTGTGATCTTGAGTGTAAGAGTGAAATACACTGTTTGGTAGGAGAGTGGATAGGGCTTTGTGGGGTGGGGTTGGGGAGGGAGGTACAGAAGGAGGACAGGAGAGGAAGGTTCTGGATGAAAATAGAAGCCACCATCGCTAAATTCAATATAAAACAGACCATCCAGGTGGCACCATTACGGAAGTTCTTGTCATGCACAGTAGCGCTGTAGAGCAAACAGTTGTAGTTAGTTTGCACTTTGATTGTCAAATATATTTTTCATTTTCCAGAATTCTCAGTGACAATTTCCTGACTGAACTGCGGAAGGACTCATTTGAAGGGCTACTCTCTCTCCAGTATTTGTAAGTCAGTTAGATATTATATTTGTATCTGAGGTTAGACATAGACCAGATAGAAGTTTCTTCTTCAGTAATGGAGGAGCAGTGATAATAGAATCTGACTAACATTGACATTCATAGAAACTTTCTGTCTTTATAACATCTGTTTTTATTTAGTCTACATCCCATAGTGTTAAATGGTTGTAAAAGAAGAGAAAAATATGCAGCAGAAGCTATTTGTGGCTGGTAAAGCCTAAAATATTACTATGTACAGGAAAGATAACATTTGAAAAAGTTGATTTATTAACAAAATAGGGATTAAAGTCATGTTGTTAAGTGCTGTTGAGTCAAGTGCAACTCATATCAACTCTTTGATCTGAACCCTGAACTATCCTGTGGCATCCTCACACTTCCTGACACACCAAAGCCCACTGTTAAACTTGAGGGTATTCCTCTCTTTGACCGACCCTCCACACTTTCAAGCATTATGTCCCTCTCCAAGGAGTAGCCCCTCCTAGCAACATGCCCAATGTATGTGAGGCTGAGGCTGGAATTAAAGATAGCCACTGATTATTGTCTAAAGGACAGAAAATTTAAAATGGTATTAATTTGGATATGTTTTAATAATTAACACTTAAATATTAACTCAACAGACTGTTTCAATGGTAACAAAAGGAAAGAAAAGAGACTAGTGTTAAGAATTTCGTAGAAGAATATTTTGCCATATGATAACTAAATGTTTAAAGTGATGCTTAAATAGTATAGTCATAAATATTTATACCATTTAAACATATCAGAAATGTCCCAACTCTTTTAAATGTTATTAGGTGTTATATAATTGGTTACAACTCATTATTACCCTGCAACAGAATGAAACCAGCCCAGTTTTGTGCCCTCCTCACAATCTCTGTCTTTGTTAAACTCAAAAGAAAGACAGTCCATTTACTAAGGAAGGGCTAATACATCCATAGTATCTGTGCACATTAAGAGACAATATAGCAAATTCTTTACCTTTATAAAGGCTTGATTTTATCCCTTACCCATGAACTCTAGGGCGATGTGCCTTATTAATCCTCATTAAACTACGCATAATGCTTTTATTTCCTTTTTTAAATTATTATTAATTTCAATAAAAATTTAGAGAGACTATGGATTTCCATTTTCCCTTCCTCCCCCCAGTACACTCCCTTCTTAGAAAAGTAAAATAAAAATTCTTTCATTGTTTTACAATCCCTCCCCCCAGGTCCACTCCACTATGTAGCCTTCGCTCTGGACCCTCATCATGACAAAAATACCTAATCACATATCCCTTTTAAACATTTTTCTCCCTCATGTGTTTCAATGCAGTATACATTATTTAACCCATCTTTCTCAGTCTCTCCCCAACCCTGATGTCAGTCTTGTTTTACAACAGTGGCAGCATGCAGTATTTGTCCTTTTGTGAGTGAGATATTTCACTCAGCATAATGTTCTCCAAAGTCACCCATTTTAAAAAATATTGCATCAGTTTCTTGTTTTTCAATGCAGCATAGTATTCCATTATTGTACGATGCTTTTTAGCAAACATGTTCCTCTTATTAATGTAGAAAGCTTAAGGGAAGTAGTTGTTATGTGCCATTGAGTCTGACTCAATGATCCTTTGGACAACAGATTTGGACCCTGTTCTATCTTGTTCCATCCTCATCACCTCTGACATACTTGAGCTCATTGCAGTCACAGTGTGAATCCATCTCATTGAGGGTCTTATCTTCCTTTTCTGACCTTTCACCTTTCCTAGTTTGTTGTTTTCAAAGAATACCCCCTTTATACTAAAGTGACTAAATATGTGAGGTGAAGTGTCCTCAACCCTGCCTCTAAGAAGCACTCTGGCTGCACCTTCTCCAGGACCTATTTCTTTGTTTTTTTATCAGTCCATGGGATATCAAGACCTCTTTTCCAAGACCACAATAGAAGGCATCAATTCTTCTGTCATCCTTTCTAACTGTCCAGCTCTGAGATGTACAGAAAGTGATTAAAAAGACAATGGCCTGAATCAGGCACACCCTTTCTCTTTAAACTGACATGATTGCTCCTCAGTAGTTTGCAGAGATCTGTACTAGCAGACTTTTTCCATGCTGTGTAGCCTACTGCGACCCTAAAGGCCACCAGCTGTGGGAGAAGGATGGTTAATCTCCTCCCATGTGATTAACTGCCTCTAAAAACCTGTCACAAGATCAGCTATGGGGCTGGTTCTGACTTGATGGAAAACAACAACATATGTCTTTTGATTTCTTGACTGCTGTGGATTCAAGTAAGATGAGGTTGGCAATTTCAGTCTACATCTTCTTGATGTTCCTTGTTAGCCCAGTGGTGAAGATTGTTATCTTCTTGATGTTGAGATGTCATCTGTATTGAAGGCTGTAGTCTTTGATCTTTTGTAGGAACTTCAAGTCCTCCTCACTTTGAGAAAATGAGGTTGAGTCATCTGCATACTGCAGGTTGTTGACACAACTTCAAGCCACATTTTTCTTCATAGAGTCCAGTTTCTCAAATGATTTGTTCATAATGGAGGTTGAATAGGTTGGACAAAGGATACAGTTCTGATGTACACCTTTCTTAGAATTTTTTTGTTTGTTTGTTTGTTTGTTTTTTCTTGCCAGAATTAAGCTCTTTATTCACCTTTCTTGTTTCACAGTCATGGTAATTTTTATAACATAGAAAACACTTCTGGCACTTGACATCAATACGTCAGAACCTGCTCAGAATACCCAGAGCCATGTAGCGTCACTCTTTCAGTCATGGTGCAGTGAGAGCTGTAGAGAATACTCAGGAATAGACACAAGCCAGTGAAATGAGAAACCCAGTTATAAGCTTGGTTTGGGGCTTGGGCTATGATCTTCAGAACATCCATGCTGACCAAGTTCAAACAAGAACAAGCTCATCCCAGGACAAGTTTTAGAATGCTATGGAAACCACAGAAGGAGCTATCATCTTCCTCCCAGGGCAGAACTTTCCCAGACCTCAGTTAGTTCCAGAAGATCAAAGGTCTCTGATTCATTCATTCATACACCAGATCTTTACTGCCTCATGCTGGACAAAGATACATATTAGACTGAGTCCTCACCTTAATGGAATTCTGAATATGATGAAAAGTATTTATTTATAGGTAAATCCCCGTGATTCAAGGCAAAAGGATAGAGATAAGTCCAACAAACCTTGGCCCTCAAGTAGTTCATGGCCTAACAGAGACAATACACAGACAAATAGCATGGCTTATGGTAGGCACCCAAGAATAGACTACCTTCAGACAGTACAGAGGAGGATGATTTGGCATCTGTTTGAACATAGCGGCAGGTAAAACTGTTTCCAATGAGCAGCTCAATCTGGACAGAGTAGGTATCAGATCTTACTGCTGTGGGGAAGGGGTTGTATAGCCTTCAGGACTCCCTCTCAATTCTCCTCTCCCCGCACAAAACAAAGTGATATGTCTCAAACGCATGGTTGCAGTTGCAAGATAGCCTAGGGAGATCTGAGGAAACATCCAGAAGCCAACAGAAACATCCAAATAGCAAGGCACAGTGCGGGAACTAGGGGCCTGTGTTAAAACTATTAGGTTGAATGGGTCAGGAGAAGGCTGGCCTGGGCAAATACCAGTAGCAAGAGGCTCCTACTACCTGTGTTTTTCTACGTATCTTTGTGTGTGGTGGACAGACGAGGATACAAGAAGTAGGGTGTGAGGGCAGCACCTCAGAGCAAAGGACAATGGCTTCTGTAGTCCTCTTAACATTCCTATGACTTACAGGCCTCTATCAGCATTCCTCTTTTCTTCACAGCTACCATCACTTACCCGGTATATACCATTTTACACTCAAATTGAGAGTGGCTCAAATGGTCTCAGTGAGGTTACAAGTATCATGGTTGCAGGCCCCCAAAGATCCTGAGTGATTAGCACAAATAGGGCTGCAGCACCTGGATCTATCTGTTGGTCAGCAGAAGCACAGACAAGTTGAACAAACATTAGCATTGGGTGGGACCGTCTCTACAAGCCAACCTGGTGCCAGCACAGGGAACATCTGCAATCTATAGCTGCCAGCCTCAGTTTTAGGCCTGCCACTTCCTTTCTCTTCCTGAAGATGTCATGACACCTATCTGTTGCTCTTTTACTTCACAGCTGCCATCACCCACTCAAGTAAATGCTCTAGCCCTCAAACTAGAGTCTCCCTAGCCCCTAATACTCCTTTCTTACTATTCATAGTATAAGAGTAGAACACCTTTCTTGATTTTAAACCATGCAGAGTTCCCTTGCTCTGTTCAGACAAGAGCTTCTTGGTCTAGCTATAAGTTTTGTTTGAGCATATTAAATGCCTGGGATTCCATTTTCCCCAATGTTAACCATAGTTTATGACTCACACTCCAGAAAAAGTATTTGCATAGTCAGTAAAACACAAATAGACAGACATTCTTCTGGAATTCTGTGTTTTCTGCCAAGGTCCAGCTGACATCAGTATTGACATCTCAAATACTTTGACCTCTTCAAAACCCAGCTTTAACTTCTAGCAAATTTCTGTCAATGTACTGTTTTCGCAAGATCTTCAGCAGTATTGCATTGCTTGTAACATTAATGGTGGGTCAGGGTTTCTTAAAAATAATTTCCATATTCTGGTGGATCATGTTTCTTGGGAAAGGGAACAAATATGGATCTCTTCCAGTTAGTTGACTGGACAGTTCCCAACTATCTTGCCATAGAGTGGTGAGCATGTCCAGGGCTTCGTTTGTTAGTAGAAACATGTCAATTGATATTCCATCAATTCTTGGGGCCTTGTTTTTTTTGCCAATGCCCTCAGTGCAGGTTGAAATTCTTCCTTCATTACTACTTGTGTTTACTTGTGTTTGGTCATATGCTATTTCCTGAAACATTTCAGTGTCAACCACTTCATTTTGGCATACTGACTGTGTATTCCCTCCATCTTCTTTTTATGCTTCCTGGATAATTCGAGATTTTTGCCCATAGCATCTCTCAGTATTGTAATTTGAGGTTTGGATTTGTTTTTCAGTTCTCTGAGCTTGAGAAATACCAAGCCAGTTTTCCCCTTTTGATTCTCTAACTCCAGATCTCTGCAAATTTTGTTCTAATACTATTTTTTATGTTTTGTATTTTCAAGCTGCCCTTTGAAATCTTATGTTCATCTCTCTTACTTCATATTTTCCCTTTCCTTTCATTTCTTGATGCTCTAGTGCAAGTTTTAGAGTCTCTTCTGACATTGTGTTTGCCTTTCTTTCTCCCCTGTCTATGAAATGACCTTTTTCTCTCTTTATGGATGATATTCTTGATGTCATTGCCCACAGCTCGTGTAGTCTTCAATCATTAGTGTTCAGTGCCTCAAGCCTATTGCTGAAATTATTTTTAAGTTCAGGCAGGATAGACACAAGTTAGTGCTTTTGTTCTTGTGGACTTGTTTCAATCTTCTTCAGCATCAGTTTAAATTTGTACAGAAGTAACTGATGGTCTGTTCTGAAATCAACACCTGCCCTGGTTTTGATTGCAATATTGAAATTCTCCAATGATTCTTTCTACAGATAGAGTAAATCTATGCAGTCCATCTGTAAGATCTGTGTAGTCACCATTTATGGTATTTTAATTACAATGAATATATCATTTAATATATAAAATTCAATCATTCATAATCCAGCCTCATTTCTGTCAACAAGTCTAAAGTTTCCAACTACTATTCTACTTCCCTGTTTCCAACTTTTGCAACCAATTATTATTAATGCATCTTGGTTGCTTGTGTGGTTAATTTTAGACAGCAAAATTTGGTAGAAATCCTCAATATCCTCATTTCTGACTTTTGCTTTTGGTGTATATATTTGAATAATAAGTGGCATTAAAAGTTTTTCTGTATAGACTCATACATAGCATCTTGTCACTCACAGCATTGTAGTTTTGCATAGAAGTGCTCTTTTTAACTATGACTGCAACCCCATCCTTCCTCAACCCCATCCTTCCTCAGTTCTTCATTCCTAGAATAAGAAATCGTGTGGTTGTCTGATTCAAAGTGGCCCTGCTAAAGCATCTCAGCTTGCTAATGTCAATCTTTATGCATTCCATTTCATTTTTTAACAATGTCTAATATTCCACACAGCCAAGCTTCGTATAGTACACATTCCAATGGTTAGTGGATGCTTGCAGCTGATACAGAAAAGTAGTTCTTGAAATGATCAAACCTTTTATGTCTTAGGGAAACAACAAATTTTGTAGTAATTGGTTCTTGCATCTCTGGCATGTTGGTCCCTAAACAGTAAAACTATGATTTGGAGGGAAACACATGCCTGTCCTATCTTCTGCCATCCTCATCATCTCTGACACACTTGAGCCCATTGCTGCAGGCACCACCTCAGTCTCTTTCACTGAGGGTCTTCTCCACTTTTCCAAGCACAATATTCCTTTCCAAGCACAACAGTCCTTGTCAAGGACCAGTCTTTCCTGGAAACATGCCCCAAATATGAGAGATTAAACTTTGTTATCTTGGCCTCCAAGGAGCCTTCTGCCTACACTTTCTTCAAGACATGTGAGATTGTTATTTTAGCAATCCATGGGACATTCAGTACTCTAACTGCACCACCACAACTGAAAGCCATCAATTCTTCTTCATTCACTCTTATTTCTTTTGCTCTTGCGTGGATGGAAGACTCCATGGTTTGAATCAGGCACACCTTAGTCTTCAAACTAGTATTATTACTCCTCAGTAATTTGGAGAAGTCTTGACAGTGGACTTGCCTAATACACTACCTGATATTCTGAATCTCCTGATCTCTTGAACGCTCATTGCTGGCATTAACAGTGTTGTGGATACAAATAAGGTGAAATATTTAATAATGTAAATCTTTCCCCATCGATCATGATGTTGCCTCTGATAATTAAACAATCAGGATTTTTGTCTTCTTGATGTTGAGATGCATTGTACATAGAAGGCTATAAACTTTGATATTTTGCAAAGTTACTGTACTGTTAATTATCAAAGGCAATGCAAGAGAGTAAGAAACAGTCTATGCTTTTAAGGAATTTATGCTCAGAGAAAATGGGATATAAAAAGAACTATATTGGAAAGAAGAAATCAATATGAGCACTGAAAGATATAAAGAGGTTCTAGAGGACAGAGCAAAAACTCCCATTTGGAGCAGAGCAGAAGCTAAATAATGTTATTTGAGCAGGACTTTCAAGAGCCACTTGGTATATTCAATCAGTCAGCTGGGGAAGAAAAATCCAAGCTTTCAAAAGGAGGATAAAGGCAAACACAGGCAGTGGAAGGTGGGTCTGAAGAATGCCATGGGCACCTTTGGGTAGAATAAGAGGAGGTAGAGACTGAAGCCAGATCTCATAGGCTTTGAATGCAAAACTAAGGTGCCACCTTGGCGAAACCATGTTATTACAGCAATGGTCTAAGGCAAGTGGCTCTCAGACTTTCATCTTCATCAGAATCAGGGCTCAGGGCTTGCTGAAGCACACTTGTGGGCTTCCTTCCATATTTACTTATTCAGTTGATCTAGAGTTGTTATTGTTGAGTCAGAACTGACCTCGAGCTGACCCTGTGGCAGGTTTTCAGAGGCAGTTACTACCTCTGGAGGAGATTGCCCATCATTCTCCCACTGGGCAGCTGGTGTTTTTGAACTGCATGCCTATGAGATTAAAGTCCAACTTCTTGCCATTAGGCTACCAGTGCTCACTAGATCTAGAGTAGGTATTTTGCATCTTCAGTAAATTCTTAGACACTACTGATTAGAGAACTACTGCTGAAGAGCTAATCAATTCTTAGGCAATACTTATTTGAGATCCACTGCTGAATAGTGAATCTTCCCAAGGTGATTTTGCAGTAAAGATTGTTGTTGATGTTGTTAGGTGCCATTGAGTCATAGACGACCCATAGCGACCCTATGAACAAAACTACATTGAAATCACCAACCAGAAGACAATTTAACCCAACCAGGTGAAAAGGAAAAGACTATTATGGGGTAAATGGAAAAACAACATTGACTGTAGTCAGGAAATGGGTGGTTTAAAAAAAAACATCCACTTTTACCTTATTTTTCTCCTGTGTGATGACTACAACACTGCTCTAGAATTTGTATTAATATGATAAATTTATTATCCTCAACCAACATTCTTGAATTTCTATTGATATGATAAATGTATTATCCTCAACTAGCTCATAGTTTTATATTTATTAGAAGAATGACTTCCTTTCAAATTATGTCACAGAATATCCTTTGCTGCTTCTAGTATTGAGGGGGCCAAGAACAGAACTCAGTCAGAAAGGTGTACAAATGTTAGATTATTCTTTTCATGTTATAGATCATAGCTCCAAACTCATCTAAGTTTTGATGCAACTACAAAAGGTCTTCTAATCAATTTTCATATTCTGAAGAAAGTGCCTTTAAAATCTATCAAGATCGATAGTTGTTTATTTTATGAAGGTGAAACTCTTAACAGAAGTGAGGGCTGGATAAGGACCTTCGAAAATTTAGACAACAATTACTAAGTTTTAGATGTCAGCCATACACTTATTCAGTATTCCTCTGAACATTACCATTTATTCCTACCAATGTGATATCTAATAGCTAACTGAGGCATTATCTTCCTTTACTTTTCACAGAGATTTATCCTGTAATAAAATACAGTATATCGAAAGGGGGACATTTGATGCATTGCCTTTTTTGCAGTATGTGTAAGTTACAAACAATTATAAATTAATTACATTTAGAAATTTTATAAAAACTCATTGCAAATCTTTTTTGCTGTTTGTTTTGAAATGTTAAGCTTGAATCAGTGGGAAGGTTCTAAAGGTATGTAGCAAAGCCTTTGTATCTCTAGTAACGATTGGAGTGAAAAGTATTAGGCAGATAAGTGTGACAGAACAGTGGTTCTCAACCAGGATGATTTTGAACCCAGGGGACATTTGACCACATCTGGGTACATTGTTTATTATTGTAATTGTGAGTGTGCTGTTGGCAACTTATTAGAAGCTGCTAAGGATGCTTCTGAGCATCCTGCAATACACAAAACAGTCCTAACAACTACAACAAAAATGTGTTGTTATTGTTATTATTATTAGTTCCTGTTGAGTTGGCTGTGATTCATGTGACCTCATGATCGTGTACAACAGAACAGAGTGCTGCCCAGACTTGCAGTGTCTTTATGATCAAGGGAACCGAAACTTACACAGCCCCAAATGACAACAGTACTGTGCTTTAGAAACCGTCTCTAGAATGAAGATTACTCAGTCCAAGCATTTCTTTACTGTTTTATACTGTATACACCACATGTATAAATATAAAAGTCTAAATGAGAAGCAAGTATCTTCCACGAGATTTCCTTATTGTGTAGGTAGCGAGTACTGAAATGATTTTGCATCATAGCAAATTATGATCATTGTCAAAACATGGTGCTCTGAAAAAATATCTTATCTTTCTCTTTTGATTTTTTACATTTTTTAGAGATCTCGGATGTAACATAATTACTGAAGTCCCCTTTGGATCATTTCAGACCTGGCATGGATTGCAGTTTTTAAACACATTGTAAGTAAAAGAGGAGATGGAGAGCTCGGGGGAAAGTTGTTCATGTGCATAAACAAACATATAATGCCAGATAAGTATAAGACACAAATTCTGAAAATTGTGTATTAAGAGCCATTTATCCTCCTGAGCAAACTATGGTACAGAGAGGCCGAGAGCCTTCTCTAATTCCTGTGTGATGCGCTCTGCTGTCTCTAGTACTGATCCCTGTCACCAGCCAAGTAACATGCAAATTAGCATTGCAGGGGAATTCCGTGATGCTGCTAGCATGGTCCCTAGGATTTAAAGTTTGTATTCTCTTTTTCTTTAAAAAAAAATTGGTTGTGATTTTAATGAAAGTTTACAGAGTTCTCATTCATTCATTGCAGCACGGTTTTCTCCCTCCTCCAGTCCATTTTGCCATAAATCCCTCATTCCAGATTGTTGTCATACAGATAAGGCCTCATCATATAATCCTTTCAGACAGATCTTTCCCTCCTCTGTTCCAATGCATATTTCATTATTTATCCACGCTTTTCCTATTTCCCTCCAACCCTGTCATATCAGTTCTTTTTTACAACAGCATATTATGCAGTATTTGTCTTTCTGTGACTGAATGTTTCACTCAGTATGATGTCACCTGTGCTTATCAATATTGTGTAGTTTACAAATGCATTGTTTTTCCTTTTTTTTATTTGTTCCATTCCTTCACTGTTGCACGTTTCTCCCCTCCTCACCCTCCCTTCCAGTATACTACCCTCCTGGAAAAGTAAAAGAAAAATTGTTTCCTTGTTTTACAATCCCTCCCCCCAGTCCACTCCACTATACAGCCTTCATTCTGAGCTCCCATCATGACAAAAATACCTAATCACATATCCCTTTTGAAGAGTTTTCTCCCTCATCTGTTTTAATGCAGTATCATTATTGAACCCATCTTTTTCAGTCTTTCCCCAAACCCAATGTCAGTCCTGTTTTACAAGTGACACCATGCAGTATTTGTCCTTTTGTGACTGAGATACTTCACTCAGCATAATGTCCCCCAGAGTCACCCATTTTGAATAATATTGCATGAGTTCCTTGTTTTTCAATGCAGTGTAGTATGCCATTGTGTGACTATACCACAGTTTGTCTATCCATTCGTTTGTTGATGGGCACTTAGGTTGTTTCCAACTCCTTGCTATTGTGAACAAAACCCAGATAAACATGGGTGTGCATATATCTGCTGGGATGTCTGTTATGGTCTCTTTGGGATATATTCCCAGCAGTGGAATTGCTGGGTCAAATGGTATCTCTATTTGCAACTTTTTGAGAAAGCGCCATACCGCCTTCCACAGTGGTTGCACCATTTTAAACTCCCACCAACAGCAAATAAGGGTTCCAGTTTCTCCACAACCTCGCCAGCATTTGTTGCTTGCTGTTCTGTTAAATTTTGCTATTCTGACTTGGGTGAGATGATATCTCATAGTTGTTTTGATTTGCATCTCTCTTAGAGCTAGGAATTTTGAACATTTCTTCTGCTGTCATGAGTCATACTTAACTGAATGACACCTAAGAATAACAAGTTAATCCGAAGTGATAGCTAATTGTGGTTGTATTTCCTTGATTGCTAAATGATATTGAGTATCTTTTCCTCTGCTTATAAGCCATTGTTAGAATTTTCTCTTTGGAGAAATGAGAGAAAATCTTTTCCCCATACTTGAGTTTGATTGTCATTTTGTTGCTGAGTTTTAAGAGTTCTTTTAATATTGTAATTATTGTACCTTTGTCCACTTAGTAGTACAAATAGTTAAAATGCTTGGCTACTAATCAAAAGTCCACCCAGAGGCATCGTAGAGGAAAGACCTGTTAAATTTTTTCTTAAAATCAGTTCTTGAATACCCGGTGAAACAACAGATTCTGCTTTGACACACGTAACCATGTTGTTTGTTGTTGTTATGTACTGTCGAGTTGCTTGTGACTCATTGTGACCCTATGTACAAGAGCCCTAAATGCTGCTCTATCTTGTGCCAACCCTGCCATCTCCAATGTAACCATGGGCCAGTTAAATATTTAGCCATGGGAGTTGTTTAGGGAAAAGAAATGAAAGAAGAAAGTGTCGTTCTCTTGAGGTGCTCCAAAAGGAGTAGCTGAACTTTGAAAAAGGTATATTAATCTCTATCTCTATAATTAATGCTCTCAAAATTAAACTTAACAGCCTTGTTAAATCTCATTTTCTTCATGCAGGTTGATTAAAGGTCCAAACCCCAACTCTGCTTTCTCTTACTACTTAGTGACCTTGGACAAATTATATAATCTCTGTATACCTCAGTTTCCTCATCTGTAAAAGAGATTCAAATAAACCACATAAGATCATATTAAAGGATAGATTTCAAATGCCAATCATAGTGCTTGAAAGTCCCAGTATATAGAAAGTCCCAATATATAGTTGTGGTTGTTGTTAAGTGCTATTGAGTTATGGACAACTCATAGCAACCCTGTGAAAGAAAGACATGAACACTTATATAACTTCCATTGTTTCTCTAAGTTCATAGAGTTTCTGGAGGCAAGCTGTTTTGGAAGTGGATGCCATTCCTGCTTCCAAGCTTATTTTAATCAGGGAGCTCCATCAAACACTGTCCACAATGGGTAACCATTATCATATTTAACACATCGGTGTCACAGTGTTTTTAGCATCACATCAACCACAAGTTACCTCTGTACAGCAAATTGAAAGACCAGTGCTTTACCACTTAGAAGAATATTTGACCAAAAACATTTAAAACCAGGCCTGCGGGCTGCAGATTAAAATCACCCACCATTGACTTGGTAGCATAACTTTCTAACCATTAGGCCAGTAGAGCTCTCTCTGTGACACAGCAATTCTATGAACAATAGATCTAACCCCTGCCCTATCCTACACCATCCCCACAATCTGAGACATGCTTGAGCCCATTGCTACATCACCCCAATATGTAGTATTTGTAATAATAATAATAATAAATTTTTTATGTTCTGCATAAAACTTAATGACTGCATGTAAGTTAATGATCCCTAAATATCTTTAAACTGGATAGATTTACTTTTTTTCTGTTTCTTGTCTTCATTTGTTGTTGTTGTTGATTGTCATCGCATCAAGCACAACTCATAGCACCTTTATGAAGAAAAGACCTGAAACTTTTCAATAACTATAGTTCCTCCAAAAACTGTAGTTTCCAGAGGCATGTTGTTTAGGAAGGGGATGCCATTCCTGCTTCCTTTAAGAATTAAAAAGAAATTTTGCTCTAGCATTTCAAAATACAAAAGGCAAATATTGTATAACACCACTGTTATAAAGTGGGACAGACATGGGGGTGTTGGGGAAAGAATGATAAAAGAATGGATAATGAACAGGGCAATAGAACAGAGAAGGGGAAGAAATGTCCAAAAGAAATATATGATTAGACATTATATGAATGATGACAATTTGGAACAAGGGGTACACTGTGGGGTGGGGCTCGGGAGGGGGGAGATAATGTGTAATGTTGTTGATTGACTTTGAATCGAGCACGACTCATAGCAGCGACCCTCTGAATGAAAGGCCTGAAGCCAATCTATATCGACATTTATCCAAATTCATAGAGCTTCTAGAGGCATTTTGCCTAGGAAGTGGATGCCACTCATGCTT